TGCGTGTGTGTGCGTGTGTGTGTGTGTGTGTGTGTGTGCGCGTGTGTGTGTGTGCAACGACATGCGACACCGACTTCAATGCATAGACGTTCTGGAACGGCCTGATCCACTAGCTCCAGGCCCGCTTCGCACAGCCGCAGCAGCATTAGCAGTAGCAGTAGCAGTAGCAGTAGCAGGAGTAGCAGTAGTAGCAGTAGTAGCGGTGGTAGTTGTTGTGGTAGTAGTAGTAGTGCGTGCGCGCGCGCGTCTGTGTATGTGTGTGTGTGTGTGTGTTTCTGTCTCCGTGTGTCGAGCGTGTTTTTGTGCGCCAAATTTTGGAGTCAAAGGGCATGCGTCCTCAAGGTGGCCGCGGCGGCTTCGGCCGGGGCATGTTCGGAGGTTGGGCCGGCGATGGCCTCAGCAAACAGGAGCAGGGACGAAACGGGTTTGTTGTTTTTTGAAGGCACCCTTTTGATGTTGGTTGAAAATGGAATCAGAAGGAACAATAAAATTTGAAGAAATTTAGGTGAGCTATTGTCCCTTGAGTGGGACGCTTCCATTTTGAGCGATGGAGGCGGGGAAGAGAGGGAAAGGGAAATGCAGGTTCGGGCAGAGTTGTGGACAGGCCACGAATGTGCTAGAAGTGGGGGAAGCTGTCCTTGAAGAGGCTTTGTCTGAGGCCTTTATGGCAAGATTGTCGGCACAAATGGGTGTTCCCAAGCTTCGGCCACAGATTCCTACCTTGTTAGGCTGGTGCAAAAGCCAGCCGTGGCAAACAGTGCCAGCTTCCTACAGCCTCAGCCCAAGGGAACTCCCCGAGGCACACGCCCTCAAACCGAGGCGGCGTGCAACAGCTTACGCCCGGCGTGCTCGTGCACGGCGCTTAAGCCCTTTCGCACCAGGTGTCCTTCTGGCCGGGTTTTTATGTCCCCCAAGGAACTCATGGCTGAGCCCGTTCGGGGTGTCTTTGTTTAGTGTCCATCCCTGCGTCGGCTTTGTAGGATATTTTGTGGGACCGAGTGGGTATGACTTTTGGAACCGCCTTTTATGAGTCCCCTGCTTTGGCGACCTACAGTTTTGGGGGGTTTCCCTCAACCGGCTTTACTTTTTGGACAGCCCTCACAAGAACTCAAATTCATTGGTCTTCCTTTTGGAGATTAAGTTTGTGTGAGGGTCCAAGTCCGCCGGCACAAGCAACAAGAGAAGTACGGGTTTGAAGTCCGCAAAGCTTCTCGTGGCTGTGCATTCTGCCTTTGGCATGGGGCAGCCTCAGAATGTCGAAGCCATTTTTTACGTTTCTCGAATTGCTTTCTAAACTAAGAATTGGTGCCCCGAAAAAAGAAGCACTTTCTGCTTTCTGCTGCTTGATGTTTTCAAGGGCACGTGCAAGGAACAATGCTGTCGCGACATACTTTCACTGCAATGGAAATGCATCCTGGGGACATTTGTCAGGCCAGTTCACATGCAGGTGATGCACCTTGCTCATGTACAGGTAAGCCAAGTCCACAACCGCATAGTCAACCAATGACCTGGCCGACGGATCATGGTGGTCAAGTGCTGTTGGCCGCCCCAGACTCATTATTGTGTGTGACGGGTGGCAAAGTCGAACCTGGGGCCATGCTTCTTGCGGGTTGGCGCGGGTGTGATGTTACCTGGGCCCAGTGCATTTGTCGCGATTTCGCTGCCTCACGTGGCCCTGAGGCGTTTGCACGGGCTGAAGGCGGGAAAGGGGGAAAGGTGGAGATGAAGCCAAATCCCTTTAGCCCCCTTTTGTGTTCCTCCAAAGCTTCAGAAAAGAACAAGCTGTCGGCATGCTTGCCTGTACGGCTTACACACGGACATGAGCGGATCTTGCAGCGTTTCGGGCTCCCCGTTTCCCTCCGCGATAAGTCTTCAGGTGCCCTTTGCACCTTGGAAGTGCACGCTTGGTACAACTTGACAAGGGGCACGTGCAAACGGAAAAGTCGCCAAATCCAAAGGCCAGTTAAGGCCATACCTGTAGGGCTCAAAGCCGCAGGGCCGACCTGAGCTGAACGGCATGATCGGCAACTGCATCAACTTTGACAAGAGCTCGGCTCTTGGTGTGGCATTCCTGGCTGGTCACCCGGGTGGGGTCATCTTTCTGGACTGAGCTTTCATACGTAGATCCACAGAAAAGTTGATGATTTACGATTGCGATTTCTTTCAAGAATTGCGGCACTGCTTTCAAGGGCTTGAATCATGACGTGTTTCACCCATGCGGCGTTTTCGTTCTGAGGCAAGGGGCGCTGGCAGGCCGGAGTGATAGTCGGCGGCTGCTCTCGTTGGGGAGGAGGCAGCCGTTCTCCGGTAAGGATTTGGGAGTTTCTCATTTCAAAGGCAACCCAAAGGAACCCACGCATTTTTGACTCCGTTTGGGGGGCTCATTCGTTGAAGGGTTTTGGGCAACGGGAGTTTGGTGTGAGCTAATGTTTTCATGAGGGGCAACCCCGCAGGCCCGAAGGGATTCGAATCGGATTTCGTATAGGTGCGACTTGAAGAGCGCCCCGGGGTGCCGCCCTGAGCACGCAGAGGTCGTGGCGCCTGCGGAGTTTGGATAAACTTGGCACGGGAAACTCGGGAATGGCTTGGAATGGCTGCATTAGGCCGACATGCTGTTCAAGGAGGATAATCTGCAAGCCGCGCGGCTCCTAGCGGAATACTGCCCACCTTTTGCAAGGTTTTTCCCCCCCTAATGTTTTAACAGACAGTCCACAGTCGGAACACTGCAGTGATTCCGAATATTCCAAGTGGCACGTAGCAGATGCCCACAGCCTTTCCACACGCTCACGCTCCGCATATTTTTTCCGCGAAGGTCAGCGTGGACGAGTACGAGGCGCGCAACGAGTTGCCTCGAGGGCCTTGAAGCGCCGCTGGCAGACTCCATCTGGCTGATTCGCGTCAGCCTTATGGCAGAGAGATCGGCAGGCAGCCGATCAGATCAACATGCGTGAACCTTGTTGCAAACATGGAGTTCCTTCAAGGGCAGAATCTTGACTTAAAAGGCAGGCTCCGCAGGGCGACCTGCCCGAAAATTGTTCAAAATAGAAAGAGACATGCCCATATTTCTTGCTGAACGTGTTACGGGTGCCCCGGAAGATAAGCGCACGCCTATTTCGCAGCCTCTCTTGACAAGGCCAGCGGTTTCTGAGGCGTTCTCCATCTGGCGGTCCATAGCCTATGCTTCGTTTTTTGTGCACCCTGTTCAAACTTTGGTTAGGGAAACCAAAAGGGCAAACTGAAATTCACTATTTGGCCGTGGGTCAAAACCAATGGTATCATTTTGGGGTAGGTGCACCACCCATTTTGGTCTATTTTAGTGGAGATTGGGATGTTCAATGGGGGTACGATTTGGATTTTGACCCATGGCCATTTGCGTTGGTGGCCCTATTTGGCAACCAGACTACCAACAGGGGGCGGTCTCCCGCCAGGCCGCCCAGGCGGCTGCAGAGGGCATGGATTCCAGAATAGTTGCGCGCGCCTCAGGATGAGCACCAGCGGAGCGCCTTTTGTCCGGGAAGGGTTTGTTGGTATCGGGACGGACTCCTTTGAAGGGCAACGTGGGTGTGTCTGGTAGGAGTTGTTGAACAGAAGGTCCCGCGTTTCAAGGAATATCTTGGCCAGCAGGGCGGAAAGTCACCAAAAAATGACCCTGCAGTCAACATTGATTTGAAATTGCCATGCTCGATATGACTTGCACCCTTTGCGTTTTGACGGAAATTCTATCTGTTTGGGTGGCGATCCATTGTCAGGATCGGTTGCGATGTCCCGCTGAGTGCGCGGCTCAGAGCCTGGGAGAAGGACGTATGTGTGGGTTTTAATGGGGGGCCCTTTGGCAGACATCATGTTGGGGGGATTCATGTCCACGAACCACTTGAGGTGGTTCCCTGATGAAATCTGTGTAGCCACGTATGCGTAAGCTCTTTCAGTGTGTGACACACTAGTCCGCACTAGGGAGAGGCAAATCACATGGATGGGCCACTGCGCGCACAAAAGCAAGCACGAGCACAAACACGTACACAAACGCCCGGCCGCACGCCCTCACGGCCAGCGCGCCTACGACTGCTTGCAGATAGACGCGCATTTGCTTGCGCGTGTGCATTTGCTTGCGCTTGTGTGTGTGTGTGTGTGTGTGTGTGTGTGTGTGTGTGTCTGTGCGCTTGCGTGCGTCCTTGCGTGCGTGCGCAGTGTGCCTGCGTGCATTCGTGCGTCCGTGGGTGTGTGCGTGTGTTGGTGGGGCGGCGCGGGCGGACGTTGGTTCGTGCTGGCATCTTTTGTTGGTGCTGTGCATTAAGCGTATCAATGCGAGTGTGTTTCTGTTCTCAGGCCACCTCTCGCTCTTTCCCTCTCGCTCTCTCTCTAGCTCTCGCTCTCTCTCTCTCTCTTTTTTGTCTCTCTCTCTCTCTATCTCTCTGTGTCTCTCTCTCTCTCTCTCTCTCTCTCTCTCTCTCTCTCTCTCTCTCTCTCTCTCTCTCTCTCTCTCTCTCTCTCCAGAGACGTACCCACACGCGCACCCACCCCCACGCCCACCCACACCCACGCTCACCCACACGCACATGCGCACTGCCCTCACCCGCTTACACACCTGCACGTCCACATGCGCGCCCACATGCACCCACACACACACACACACCTGCACACAGACACACGCGCACCTTCACCCGCACACACGCACACAGACACACACACAGACATACCCACGTACCGACACAAGAACCCACACACACATACACCCACACATATACGCACACACACACACACACGTACGTGCGTGCAGGCATGTTTTGATGTAAGCTGCTAGCGCATGAAGCGAGTCAGGCCCTTGCTTTTTTAGCCGAACGAGGCATGGCATGAACGTGGAAGTGGCTGCCGAAGTCTACGAGTGCGACGCCGGAGCCTTACCCCTGTTTATAAGATCAAGCGCCGCGCGGTTGACTCAAGTGTTTCACTTATGCTACCACCCATTGTCACCCTTGTGGTGCAGACCAGGGGGATGGAGGGGAAGAAAGCCTTAAGTGTATTCGGCGGCCAAGACCATCAGCTGAATGGCATTCCTAGAGGTCAATCAGTTTTTGCATCTTAAATGTCCCCAGATTTGACCTGAGGTTTGTGAGGCAGACATCGAAGTGAGCACCAAGCTGATGTATTGCGAGCGCCCGGAGCCTGAATTTGGGAGGAGATTGGGAGGGGCCCACGCTGCACGCACAATCCGCTGTGCTGTTGCTTGGGCCGTAAAGCCAAAAGGTGAAATGGAGGGGGAAGGGCGGCATTGAGGCTGTGACTATGCCATTTGTGAGACCTGCTCTGCCCGGCAGCCCGGGTCATTGCCATTGCAGAGGCCAACCGACTTCGTGTAAGCAGGGCGGTTGTTTGGACGCGACACTCCTGGGAGAACACGACATGACGGGGCGGCCGCGGGAATACGTTGATTCTTCCCCTTACCACCGAGGCCATGGAACCAAGGAGCCAGTCAAAAACACGCAGAACAATGGGGAGACTGGGTAGCTTGTACCTCTCCAGCCCTACGGCCTCGGCTTTGCTAGGGCCTTCCGGTCTCTCCAGCTGTTGCTTTCAGGGTTCCATTTCTTGGTGGGAAACGTCATGGGCATTTCGGGTTGCTCCAGGCCAAGCCCACCGAGTTCTCACTTAGGTGGAGGCGCTGCGGAAAGAAGCGCTGAAGGCCTAGGTACCTCGGGCTTCTGTTTTATTTCTTTCCCGCCTGTTTTGGACAGCTACAGCTAGCGTCTGTGGTCCATGGTTTTCAACAACCGCAAAAAGCGCCCACGGAGAAAAAAGGACGCATATCCCGGCGCTTGGAGGGAGGGGGCTGCAGGTTGAAGTCGTATTGCGAGAAATGTGCGAGCATCCTGGTGTGCTCTCTCCCGCCTCGAGATTTGAGCATGGATCTTGGCAGGAAAGGCTCGCTGCTATGAGCCAGTGGTAGGAACGGTTCCAAAGACTCCGTACCAAGCAAGTATTTTGGACCAATACTCGCGTCCGGGGCGTAAGCCAGTGGGCATGGTGAAGATGTCACAGTGGGTCGGTATGGAGCTTGCCTCGGGTGCAATTGGCCCTTGAGTCAGGGTGGCGTTTAACGTGCTTTTGGCTGGGTTGCATGTAGATGTTAGAGCACGGTTCTGGATTGGCGTTCTACATGGTTTAGGTTTGTATCGGGTGGGAGGACCAGTTTGGATTTGTTGGTTTATCGTTTGCTCAGGCCTTAGCGTTGAGTTGTCTTAGGGCTTAGTTTAGGGATTGGGGTGTGTTTGGGGTGGTTGGAGGGCTAGGTTCAGGGCGTTGTCACTTCCGCCCCCAGCGGTACCGGAAAAGATCGCGCTGGGTCTTCCTGGAGGCTAGGACTTTCGGAGCGCTTTTTTTTGCCTTCGACCCGGCTCAAGTCGATCATCGGAATTGTGCATGGGCCATGAAGTTGGGGATGGGGCCATGGCGGCGGCTTCTTTTTCCTGAGGCCCGTCCACCCGGAACCTGGGGCGGGGGGGTGGGGGGGGGGGGGGGGAACGAGAGATTTGCGTTGATCCCAGCGCCTAGCCCGGCTAATCTATCGCAAGCTCATGAATGTAACCTGAAGCAATTTTGCAGCAATTTTGTATTTTGTGCAGACGTCTTTAAGAACAACGGGCTTCACCCAAGCAGCCACTTCACGCAGTACCCGCTCTGGCCAGGGTGCCAACGAGAGGAATCAGAGTTTCATGCAACCTTGGTTGAAGCCATGCCATGATTCTGTCGCTGCTCGTATGGGGCCCACGCTGGCTTTGAGGTGCCGTACACGTCAGCCGATGTTGAAACCCGGGTGTAGCTGGCAAAAGGGTTCTTGGATTGCATCGAGGGCTCTGATGCCATTTTGGCTCAGATGCCATGGACGGCAGTGGAGAGATGGAAGATGAGAGCTGGACACTTAGATGTTTTTTTTTGCTTGTTTGTTTGTTTGCTTGCTTGTTTGTTTGTTTGCTTGTTTGTTTGTTGGTTTGTTGGCTTTTGGTTGTTGTTGTTGACGATCATGATGACGATGACGGTGTTGTGAATGATGATGTTGTTGATGTTGTTGTTTGGATGTTGTTGTTTGGATGTTGCTGTTTGGATGTTGGTGTTTGGATGTTGTTGTTTAGATTTTGTTGTTTGGATGTTGTTGTTTGGATGTTGTTGTTTGGAGAAGGTTGCCTGGACGTTGTTGTTTGGATGTTGTTTGGATCTTGTGTGGATGTTGTTTGGATGTTGTTTGGACGTTGTTTGGATGTTGTTTGGATGTTGTGTGGATGCTGTTTGGATGCTGTTTGGATGTTGTTTGGATGTTGCTGTTGCTGTTGCTGTTGCTGTTGCTGTTGCTGTTGCTGTTGCTGTTGCTGTTGCTGTTGCTGTTGCTGTTGCTGTTGCTGTTGCTGTTGCTGTTGCTGTTGCTTGTTGTTGTTGTTGTTGTTGTTGTTGTTGTTGTTGTTGTTGTTGTTGTTGTTGTTGTTGTTGTTGTTGTTGTTGTTGTTGTTGTTGTTGTTGTTGTTGTTGTTGTTGTTGTTGTTGTTGTTGTTGTTGTTGTTGTTGTTGTTGTTGTTGTTGTTGTTGTTGTTGTTGTTGTTGTTGTTGTTGTTGTTGTTGTTGTTGTTGTTGTTGTTGTTGTTGTTGTTGTTGTTGTTGTTGTTGTTGTTGTTGTTGTTGTTGTTGTTGTTGTTGTTGTTGTTGTTGTTGTGGCGTGTGTGCGTGTGCGCTTGTGAAGGGTGATGCTTTGCTCCAGAATCAATTGTGTTTCAGTGAGGCCGAGAGGAGTGCTTCTTCCTACAATCTTGGACCCCTGTTTGTTTGTTTTTCATAGGGAAACCACAAGGGATACCAACCATTTCTGGGGGCCGATTCTTTTGCTCAGCTGGCCAGAGGCGAACACAAAGGAAACCATCCATTTTGGGAAAGGGCATGATGGTTTTTGAGACGAGGGGACCCCAAATAAGAGTGATGTTTCAATTGTCCCGGAGGTTTCCCTTCAAAGCTGGCCATTTTTGGGGACCCCCAAAATGTGCGGTTTCCCTTTAAAACCGACTGCTTCCCTACAAGAACCGCCTCGTCCGTCGCTGATGCTTCAGGCAAGCAGCTGCTGGTGCCTGAGCCGCTCGTGGCCCCCCGTAGTTCCAGCCGCAGCGTGGAGGTGAACTCAGCCGGGGAGGCGGGGAAGGAATTTCAGGCCGTACCATGCGCTCACCCCATCTCTCAGCTTTTACGGCTTAAAACAGCAACCAACGGTTTTAAGTCATTACAACCACCTTACAATGATGGAAGCTGAAGAGGCCTCCGGGGTGAATCATCATTGGTTCAACTTAGCCTCCTTTCGGTTTCATTTGATGGGCCACTTTTGACAACGTGTTGAAGCCATCGTTTGAACTGTCCTTTCGGTTTTCCCGCGAGCAACTGGTGGTGTCGAAGCCGCAAGACATGCGGTTGAGGCGACAACCGCAGTCCCCACACGCTGCTCAGCTTGGAACTGGGTGCTGGTCTTGGTGGCCGTTCTTGCGCTCTGCGCCACGGCTTTGGCCTTCGATCCTCGTGCGGCAGGCGGGTTCCCATGCTCGCGGTCGCATGGGCCCGGCTGGTTTCCGATGCCAAAGGCTAGGAAGGCCCAAGGGAGGGGCTCATGGATTGCGCTTTTGTTTCTCCGCTTTCCGACTTCCCTGGGCTCAGCCCCTCGAAACAGAAGCCAGCAGCGAGTGGCCACGGAGCAAGCTGCATATTCAACACATCAGCATATCTGGGATCTCCCAAACTTCTTAATTCAGGGTAGGCTGAATAGGAGACATCGTACACAGAATCCGACAACATTCCTTTCGTGTACCCCAGACGTGAGGCTAAGGCCAAGGTTTGATGTCAATGCTAGTCTGGGGAGACCTGTCAAACGGATAAACCTTGGCAATGGTTTTCTGATACGATTGCCTGGAAGGGGCAGACACTTCATTGGGCCCGGTCCTTGCTTCGAAAGCGAATAGGTGTGAATGTGTTGTGTGTGAGTATGTGTGTGTGAGTGTGTGAGTGTGTGTGTGTGTGGATGTGGGTCTGTTTCAATGCGTGTCGCTTTTTTTTGCGAATACAACAATCAAATTAATGACTTATATGAATAAACCATATATCAATGAATAGATACAAAACAAACAAACCACAACTAACTAAAGCAACAACAACCAACAACATAGACACATCACCACATAGCTGAATAAATCAATAATTAAACAACAAATAAGCATAACAAATATAAATGGATAAATACCTATTTGTGAATGTTCGTGTCGTGTTGGTAGGGTACTGTAATTGCCTGGTTGTTCTGTGCATGGGTGCGTTGCATTGGCGGCATTTTCGGTGTGTCACTGTTGGGCTGTCAGAGGGGGTTCCTCAAGCCGTGCACGCCAGGCTTGAGGTCGCAGGCGAAGTCCAAGTTGGATGTGGTGCTGGGCAGGCGGCGTGGTTGCAATCGCGAATGAACCATTTGGAGCACGTCAATTTCGGCCTTGCCTTTTCCGTCATTCTCGGCACGGAAGCGGTTGGGGAATGTTCAGAGCTGGGCCAATACAGGCTCAGCTGCTGGCCCAACTCACGCACGTTATTTTGTTTTTTGTTTTTGTCGTGTTTCTTTTGCAAGTGGAAAACAGCGAGAAAAGACACACGAACCCCCCATGAGACAGCCCAAGCGGCTCTGGGCTTCAGGTCTGGCTTCTCACTCGTGGAGAGAAACAGCTCCAAGCAGTTTCTCGAGGTGAAGGCTGCGAATCCAAACCAGCCGAAGGACACAACGAAGTCCGAGCGGTTCCCAGCGGTTCCGAGCAGGTCGAACAATGGACGACACAGTGATCTCCATTTTTTTTCTATAGTGGCAAGCATGGGAGCCCCTTGAAAGGCGAACAGGAAAATGGCCGGTTACCTACTGCAGTGGCAACTGGGATGTCTTGGCTAGTGTTTGAAGATGGATGAAAATCTGGGAGCGATCCCAAGCCAAACATTGAGGTTTAGAGATGCCTCTGGGACTGCTTTCCTTGGCAGCTTGCGCACCTCACATGGGAGGCCAGGCTTGTGCAACAGCCGGACAGGTGTCAACTGAAAAGCCTTCCAGGCTCCAGTGTCAACCCAGTTGTGTAGCCTCACCCCCGCAAATCGTCCAAGGAGCGCGAATCAAGTAGGTGTCAAGAGCGAGCCACGCGCCGTTTTTGCCATTCAAAAGGGGAGCCTTGGCCGGGTGGGTTTGGCCCCGGCCGACGGGATCCGCGGCCGGAACCGCGTTGCAGGAGCTCTTCTGCTGGGCGTTGATCCAAGCTGGATCCGGGGAGCCCGGAGCTCAAGGGGCCTTGCCAAACAACACAAGAGGAGAGGGATCTAAATGATCGCACACATGATTGACTTTGGATGGCTTTAGCAACTCGCTTTAGAGGAACAAACCCATTCTATGCTGTTCTTCAGGCCCTTGTGCTACATACATTTCTTGGCCAGAGTGCTAGGAGAGGTGCGCCATGCTTTTCTTTTGCGTTGCCAGGGAGGCTTTGATGATTATGCACCGCAAGCAGAGCGTCAATATCTTCGGGTGTGATGCCTGGCTCCTCGTCCGATATTCGCAGACGCGGCAGAGCTGGGCATTTGCTTTTTAACCTGGGCACATCCTCAAAACTGGGTGGTGGACATGAACCCCCTGTGAAAATGCCAGCTTTGGTGCCGCTTGCTTGTGAAGCGGCCTGGCCGGGTAAAGGTCTGTGAAAGACGAAGTGGTTTGGTTCATTGGGAGCTTCGGCATCATTCTGCCAGGAACCAAAGCCTTTCTTCTTGCCTGGCCGCGCGCGGCGTGAACCAGGGAGCAACTGCAAAGAGCAAGCCGCAAGGACCTTGTGGTAGCGCTTCCAGTCCCCAACTTCAATTAACAATCAACACAGGTTTCCGGGGCCACTCAAGGAGTGGAGATCACCCTTTTACTTCCCGCCCAAATCGATCGAATTCTTGCTATGCAGAGTGTTGGGCCCTTCTTGTGTTTGGTCGTTTCTTTGGCCCGGGGGGGGGGGGGGAGGGGAGGCCAAAGGACAAACCTATTTTTTGTTTTGAGGATCCTTTTTTTCCTTGTTTTTTTATACTGGTGTGTGGGTGTCTTTTATTTTCGAGGGTGCCGTTTTTTTTTTTTTTTGATGGCTTTATGGGCAAACCACCATGAAACCACCAATCAACGGCACAACCCTGATTCTTGGGGGCCCCCGTGTGTCTGTCCGTGAGTTTGAGTCTTCAGGCTGCTCCTGAGCGACTTCCCGGTCAGCTTTCAGGATGTGAAGTCTGTGCCGGTTGGCGCCTTTAACTCCAAGCGCTCGCCTTGGAACTCCTGGTGCCACCCGGGCGGGAGAGCGATGGGGGGCGGGGGTGAGGGGGGGGATGAGGCAAGCGTAGTTTGAGTGTGGCCAATTTGAAATAAAACGCGCCTGTTTGGTGAAACTGAAGCCCATTGCAGTCCGTTGAAACAACAGGGTGCTGGGCCATTTTCCCGTCGTTCTTACATATTTCTTTGGCTGAGGCATCATTTTTGGGAGCAATGCCGATGAGTTTTCGTTTGGTTTGTTTTCAGACGCAAAGGAAACCCGAAAACACAAGTGCCCGTCCCTTGAAGGAGAAGCCTACGTATGGGTGGCTTGCCCTTGCCTGGGTTTCCCTAAAGCCAGTGCCAAACAAGATCGATGTTAGGCCATGCCACCCTGGACCTACTGTGGATAGACAAAATCCTGCGCCGCATGGAAACCATGGGAAAGCAAGGTCGGTTGGTATTTACAGGGAAATCATCATTCCAGGGTTTCTTAGGTGGTGCAGAATTTCGTCCATCCACAGTGCCATTGTGTTTTCTCTTGCTGGCTCTTTGAACTGCCGGCATGGCCAAGTGGGCCCCCCTTCCCGCGCGAGGTACAACGTGCCAGTCTTCCTGAGGGCCTGGGCGCAGGTGGTGCAAGACCCGCGGTTCCAGCAGTTTGACTGGACGGTGAAGCTGGATATGGCGACTCGGAAGGGCGAAAACGCGATCGAACGTTTTTGGGGTCTTCTTTTTCAATGGTGTCTTGTACGCTCATGCAGACTTTTGGGAGCTTGGGAAGACCCAGCGGACATGTTTCAGAACCCTGGTGACCGAGCGCAATTTGTTTTGGCCCTTTTCCGTATATGTAGCAGGGAGCTTCGCCAGCTTTGGGGCCCCACGCCGTGCCACCCATGGCTCACAATGTTCCTTGTGGGTTGTCTGTTCTGTGACAACTTTACGGAGCATTTGGGCGCCCCACCCGTGACCCGAAACGGGGATCCACAATAGGGTGCCAGTCCCAGGCTACTACTGGTTGTTTGTTTGTTTATTTGCTTGATTGTGTTTTTGCTTGATTGTTTGTTTGCTAGCTTGCTAGCTTGCTAGCTTGCTAGCTTGCTAGCTTGCTAGCTTGCTAGCTTGCTAGCTTGCTTGTTTGTTTGCTTGCTTGCTTGCTTGTTTTTTGTTTGTTTGTTTGTTTGTTTGTTTGTTTGTTTGTTTGTTTGTTCGTTCGTTTGTTGTTTGTTGTTTGTTGTTTGTTTGTTTGCTTGTTTGTTTGATGGTTTGTTTGATTGGATGTGGGGTATGTATTGGTTTGTTTGGTTATGTGTTTGTTTATGTGTTTTGTCTCTTCTTTGTTTGTGTGTGTGTGTGTGCCTTTTGTTGTTTCGCGTTGTGTTTGTTTGTCTGTCTGTTTTTTTTTTTTTTTTTTTTTTTTTTTTTTTTTTTAGTAGGTAGGTAGATAGGTAGGTAGGTAGGTAGGTAGGCTGGTGGGTTGGTTGGTTGTGGGTTGGTTTGTTTGTTTGTTTGTTTGTTTGTTTGTTTGTTTTGCTTGCTTGCTTGCGTGCGTGCTTGCTTGCGTGCTTGCTTGCTTGCTTGCTTGCTTGCTTGCTTGCTTGTTGTCTGTCTGTCGGTTTGTCTGTCTGTTTGTTCGTTTGGTTGTGAGTTTGTTAGTGTGCGTTTGTTTGCGCGCGTTGTTGTTTTTCTTTGTTTGTTTGTTTGTTTGCGGTTTTTTGTTTGTTTGCCTTTTGGTTTGTCAGTTTGTCTGTCTGTCTGTCTGTTTGTCTGGCTGGGTGTCTGTCTGCCTGCATGCCTGTCTGCCTGTCTGCCTGTTTGCCTGCCTGCCTGTCTGCCTGTTTGTTGGTTGTTTGCTTGTTTGTTTGTTTGTTTGTTTGTTTGTTGGGTCGGTTGGTTTGTTTGTTGGTTGGTTGCTTGGCCTGTTGGTTTACTCAAATCGCGCGTTGCTAATTCCATGTTAGGCTGTAGGGGAGGTACCCCAAGAATTGTATATAAGTCTTTTATTTTCAATCGGGTAAGGAATGGAGGTCCCCCACCAGACCGGCCAGACGTGCATGCGTTCGTGCGCTGCCCAGGACACTTTTGTGTGCCACAAGCGGCTGCGGGCGCACCTAAGAGCTTCACAGGCTGAGTCTTGCGTCTGAGTTTGAGTGGGTACTTGTAGCTTCGAAGCAAAGCTCCAGTTCGTCTCTCCCTTAGGGATTTCTAAGTTCTGGCATATGTAGTGAAGGTCGTGCGAGGATCTCAAAGAGGGGATTTCCCTTTTCCCCACCATTTAAAGGGCAACCTGAAAAGTGCTGCGAAGGAAGTTGACCCGGCCGGGAGCTGAAAGGTTTTGAAGGGACGTGTAGATCTCAGGTGAGCTGAACTCGGAAACCCTTGGCTTATATGGGCCGCTCAGCAACTTGCTTGCGGCATGCGGAATTTCGCCCATTTTTTTCATAGTCGGTGCCCATGTGAGCCCCTGCCAAACATGCTTTGCGAGAAGTGATGGTGAGATCGAAGGATGGGTCGGCCATAGCATCTTACAAGTTCAGAGGTGGCCTGGGCAAATAAAGCTAGGCTGGCTGGTTGACTGGTTGCTTGGTTGCGTGGGTGGGTGGGTTGGCTGGTGGGTTGGCTGGTGGCGGTTGGTCGGTTGGCTTGGTGGCAGGTGGGTGAGTGGGCGGGTGGGGAGGTGGGTGGGTGGGCCTGCGGGCGGGCGGGCGGGCGGGCGGGTGGGGGGTTGGTGGGCGCTTGGGTGGGTTGGGGTGGGTGGGCGCTTGGGTGTGGGTGGGTGGGTGCGTGTGTGTGTGTGTGGGTGCGTGGGTGCCTGTGGGTGGGTGGGTGGTGTTGCCAACGCGCTGGAGTTTGACCCTCCAAGTTCCCCGTCCGGCCCACTAGGGTCACTGGAGCACCGTTCTCGGACTGATTCGGATTGGCCGCAGGTGAATCCCAGCGAGCCCCACTTTTGGTTGAACTACGATGTGCCTCGCTCAGCAAAGGCAGTGCCTTGATGCTTTCGGAAGGTGCCAAATGGCACGTCATTGGTCCATTTGCTTTTGCCGGTTTGTTTCGCTGGGTGCACCTCTCGACCAAACTTCATGACATGCACGAAACGCACACCCGCGCGCTTTGGCCCTCGACGTTCTTCCGACTGTATAACATAGGTTTGTCTCAACCCCCCCCCATTGTTTGGACAGGTTTCTCTTTAAGCCATCTCAGCAGTGGTCAAAAGAGACGCATCGAAGAACCAAGGCGGCGAAGAACCCCGGGCCCCTGGACTTCCTGGGTCCCATCGAGATCTTCTCCAGGGGGGCGGCCGCTCAGTTTCGGTTCTGAGAGTTGGGGTGGGGGGGGGGGAATGTGTTTCTTTCCCATCTGCGACTTTTTGGGGTCTCTGCCCAACTTAGCTTTTGGTTTGGAGTTGGGACAGAGGGTTCCAGAAAGTTCCAGGGCTAGAACATGCGTGTCTGTGTTTTCCGCAGCAACCAGATACCAGGAGGAGGACAATTCCGTAGGTTTTGAGAAATGTGTCTCCCTTCTGCATGGGTGTTTTCCTTTTGGCTTCCCTTCATGACCGCCACACACACGCACATGGAATTTCACAAGACATACCCACATTCTTTCATGTTGGTAAGGTTGGAATGAGGGTTTGTTGGAGTTTTGCTATGAAATTAGGTGGTGTTCATTCTGGTTTAAAGTCAAAGGGCCCCCAGGAGTGAGAAGCCCAGCATTTGAGACTTGGTGTTTGCGTTTTTGACCTCTCAAGGGTTCTATTTGCAAGCTGGCTTTGTAGCAGTGCGAAGAATTGAGGGACACGTGGTTGGTGGTCCTCTCATAGCACAGAAAAGTCAAGCTCCCAAATAAATCCGAATGAGCTCTGTGTGAAGGACAGATGGACTCAGTCCAAGCGGGTGGTCAACCGAGTGTGCAAGTGTTTGTCTACCTGGTATGTGTTTGCTCGGTGTGTGTCTGTATTATGCTTGCATATGTGTGCGCAGGTGTTCTTGTGGTGCTCTTGATGATTCTGCAGCCTTGCTGCAAAAGGTCTTCAGATTTGCTTGAGCATGCTGCACGGTGCCAAAATGTGGCCCACTGTAGGCCAACAAAAAGACAAAGAAGAAACTGAATTCCAACGTTTCGAGCCCAATGTTCGCCAGTGCTGTGGGAGTGCCCCTTGTGCGGCTTCGGCCTGAGCATGAGCTGGTTGCCTGCGCATAGGTGCAACGCTTCAAGGAGCGCCACCTGCAGGCAAAGGTCCTATCAGGGTCACCTGCGGGCTTCCCATTCAATGCTTTTGGATTTAAGGACCACCTTTGATACTCGGTTTCTGAAAGTTCTGATGTTTCGAGAGAATCGTTATGGCATAACCGTTATGGAATTTCAACTGATAGAATACTTTCGGCTCCCGGGATCACACGCACAGGCAATGGGACATCACTTCACTGCTTTCAGGCTATTCCAGGAAATGCACATGGTGTTGCAAAGTGCGACGCGTGCTCTTCAAGCAACTGTGCTTATTCTATGCGCGGCCGCCCTTTTTTTTTTTTCTCAGTGTTAGATGCAAGCTGAAAAGTGAGATGGGCATGTCACCTCCCCCCCTCCCCCCGCCATTTCGGAGCTGCAGAAAGTGCAACACGGATGGATGAGCCAACGAAGCCGCCAAGGGAAAGGCCAAGGAAACGGGCCGTTGGTTTGCATGTTCTGAAGGCCCTCCGGCCCTCCGCTGCGCTGAGGATGGGGTGTTCCAGAGCGGGGCTTACTGGAAGCCCTTCAAGTGCCGTCCCTGAACCCTTCGTTCCCGAAGTAAGGCCTGGTAAGTTTTTAGAAGAGCTTGTTTGGAGACCAGAGGAGGCCTGGGTCGGGCTCGGCATGGGGAGGGACAGTTGATCTCTCACGCCATCCGCAGGTTTGTCCGCGACCGCATCCTCAATCTCAAGGGGAGGATGGCTTCATGCTGCTTGCCCAATAAAGCAGGGTGCTGTCGCCAAATCTTTTTCAGGCGATGGGTGGTAGGCAAGTGGGCGCCGTCTCCAAATGGTGGGGGTCCGTTTGATGTCCTTTTCAACTCCATCAAGCGCTCCGAAAGGATTTAACATTTGGCGCATACCTTGCGTGAGAGATTTGAGCTGCCTTGGCCTGCGCAGTTTGCGCAAGCCAACAAGAGCAAACCAGATTTTGCGAAGCTTGCAGCAAAACACCACTCAAGCAACAAATCAGCTTGCAGAAAATGGGGCAACGCATTGACAACTTGCAGCAAAAGCCGAAGGGCTCTTAAGCAGCACTTCACTTTACCCTCACTTTCTTGATCTGCATTGCATTGGGCGAGCAAACTTGTTTTTCTTAAGTTGGTCAAGTTTCAGCGGATTAAATTGGAAGGTACTCCCTGAAGTTAAAACCACCAAACCACCATTTAGGGGTTCTGGTAAAAGCTTCCCTTCCGCTTCCCCTTTAGGTTTGTGGTTTTTTGAGGGAATTGTTTCCTTTAGCCCAGGCTCAAAAAGGGGCTCCCTAAAAACAGCGACACTGTTTGTGCCCCTTTCTCAGGAAGGACTGCATGCTCCGCCTGGGCGCCATCCCGCGGAAGGACTACCAGCTTTTGCTGAACGCCTGTGACTGGTGCCAGCCCTTGCAGCCTGGTCAGTGCTCCAATGGCGGCTCGGTGGAATTCGTTGCAACCGTCAGATGTTCCCACCAGAGGTGTTTTACGTTTCTTGATGACTTGCGCAGAGCCACTCGCACAGAGCAACTTGCACGGAGAAACTCACACAGAGCAACTTGCAAAGAGGACTTGCCAAGAGCAACTTGCACAGAGCAACTTGCACAGCACAACCTGCGCAGAACAATCTGCACAGAGAGACATGCTCAGAGAGTGACGCTCAGTATAGAGTGGTGCAAGCTGCTTGTGCACAATTGCTTTGTGCCAGTTCCTCTGTGCAAGTTTTTTTGTGCAAGTTGCTCTGGGTAGAAAGGGTGGGCGGCTAGGGCTGGGAGCTTGGGCAGGCAGCTTGCGTAGCGCCTCGGTGTTAGCAGCTGTGTTACTTAGGTTGTTGCTAGGGCGCCGAGGTAGGAGTTTCGTCTCGCACGGGATTGCAACCCTTCTCAACCCTTCCTAGAACGAGCCGCTGCGCGGACGCTGTTGCGTGAGTTCGCGGCGAAATGCCTTTCAACCAAGAGCGGGAGCGCGCCCAACAGTGCAAAGAAGATCGCAGGGCATTTTCTGCAGGGTATGGGTTTCGTGCGTGTGCGCGAGACATCTTGGTGGGCAGGGGGGCGGTGCTGATCGATTTGCCAAGACATTGGGAAGCAACGCTTTCTGGCCAGTTGTCCTCTAGTTTGACTAGGGCTGTTTCTTGTTTGCCGGGGCTGGTCTCCCTGCTTGGTTGGTTGGTTGCTTGGTTGGTTGGTTGGTTGGTCGGCTAGTTTGGTTGGTTGGTTGGTTGGTTGGTTGGTGGGCTTGGCTGCCGACTGAAGTGGAGATGCCCAGATGGATATGACTGGAAACCCGACATGGGGCGTGGCGTGAAATTTGAGCGTAGAACGCGACACTCCAGATCAATGGACGTATCCCAGGCGTGTCCCACAGGAAGATGAGGGATTCTTGTTTGTTGGGGTACTTGCCGCAGTTTCGGTTCTTCAGCAACGACCAGATACCGGGAGGCCATTCCGTAGGGTTTGTTTGATAGAGGTATACTGGTGTATGGAGAGGCTTGGAGTGATATTCGTGACAGGTTCGCTTTTGTCTCCAGGCTGGTTCGTCGCCTTCCATCCTTTTAAGGACGTAGAGCGGCTTGGCGGGATGGGGAGCGATCTCCGTATTTGGTCTCTCACCTGGAGCTTGACAGAGGGCCATTTTCCATGCAAGTGGGTAAGAGGAAAACAGACCTCTCGCCCCTCCAGGCAAAAGACAGCCAGGTGCTGCAGCTGCTAGCTTGTTGTGAGGATATGGGGGAGGACCCAAATGTCCCACCAGCAGCAGAACCTAATTTTTCCCATGTCCATCATGGGAATTGCGTATTTCGACTGCAGCTCACATGGTGTCATTCTGCTGAAATGACAGTACGGCTCGTGCTATGCTGGATGTGGAGCAAAGGGGAGGGTTGGAAACACGCTATTCCTTGCTCCGAAAAGAAAAGGGACAGACACCGTCAAGGGATGCATTTGGGCCAGCTAGTCTTCACTTGTACCAGTTGGTTTTGGGAATGCACGTTTCTTATTGTTTCGTTTTGAACGAGCTAGCAACTCGCTTTGCACCAGCTCTTCATCAGGCCAATGCAAAAGTGCCAAAACAACCAAGGCAATTCTAAACCAACTCGCCAAGTCTTGGCCAATCAAGACGGGAAGACGCCTTGGGCAGACCATGTTCAACACTTTCTGAAAGGCTCCTTGGATAGACCATATTCTGATCCCGACTTCTTTACCGTTCTGCCGACTACCAAGTTTTATGGCGGTGCTTTGGGTTGACACTTGATGCCAGTCCTACCTTTCACGCATGGGTTTGAACATTTCACACATCGAATCGAAGCCTCGCGACGAGGCACTATCAGCAGTGTATGGGTGCAGCGGGCAGCTGCTGAGAGTTGGTGGGCGGAAAAAGGCATTGTGGGAAAGCACGAGATGCTTACCTGTTGGATTAGTCAACTTGTTTAGCTTGTTGGCCGGGTTCTTCATTGTTTTGGTCAGGCTCAAACAGCTTCAATCCTTTTAATGGCCAGTCGGCTCAGCAGGTCAAGACGACCTAGATGGCATAGACAGGTGGCATGATGCCAAGCCATGGCCCATTTGTTGGCCTTTTCAGACAGGCTGTGCATATTTCGGAGCGGCCTCAAAGAGGCGGCGCTGGCCGAGAAGCAGCAGAGAGCTGTCCTTGGCTTACTGACCCCTCGCCGGCGGCACAGGTCGCCAGATGGCTTGCACTGCAAACTGGACCGGGGGTGTCGCTTTTGGGCTGCCCTTTTCTAAGGTTGGAAAGGGACTTGGAAGGGTGGGCCACTCATTTTGGCTGGATTCCTTGCCTTGTGAGTGACAATCGCAGAAGTCTTTCCATGCGTTTAGGAGCACGCTCGGGAATTTCCAAGCTACTCATTGGTTGTCAGGCACCAGGCTGATCGTCGATGAGGACGGCCCCCTGGCGGGCAAGCTGAGCGTCAGTGTCAGCGTGAAAGGGGATCGCGCTTCCTTGTTGGTACGAAACGGGGGTTGACTAAACCAACATGGGGATTTGTGCCATCTGCTTTCACTCAACTGTACTCGTACATGGAACATCCTGAGCTTAGTGTTTTGTCATTCACTCACTGAGACGTTGCCCTGCTGGCGGGTTGACCGATTGTTAGGGATTGCTCGCTAGATTTCGCTCCTATTGTTGTGCTGCGTGCGTGATTGTTTGCACACGTGTGTGTGGGTGTGGGTGTGGGTGTGGGTGTGGGTGTGGGTGTGGGTGTGCCTGCCTGCCTGATTGCCTGGCTGGCTGGCTGTTTGTCTGTTTGTCTGTTTGTTTGTCTGTCTGTCTGCCTGTGCAACGAACCCGTACTCTCCCCGTCGGGGAGATCGCTCATCCTGCACATGGGTCTGCTTTGTTTTGAGGTGCCCTTTGTTTGGTGGTTTCAAAGGCAAACCCAAAGGACAACCATTCTTTTTTAAATATATTTTTTGCGGGGTCCCTAAAGAAAGACGCCTCCAGATGTATTCTTCATCTTATTTCCCAAGGACCCTCCGTCAAAGGCCTCAGCTGGAGACTTCGAACTATGTCGATCTAAAACTGCCGTGCTTCGAGCGAGTCCGGCAGGCCGTTTGCGGTTTCTGCCTTAACGACAGTCGACCGCCGATTCAGCGGGAAATCGAGCTTACTGCAAAGTCGACCCTTCACCAGGAAATCTAACCCTTAGTTCAGGTTTTGGACTTCTTGTAAGTTTATGAACGTTTGCTTTAGTCAAAGGGGCGAATACAATGACTCGGCAGACGCTCCACGATTGTGAATTTCTCCCAGCATATGTGGCTCCATTCGTTTTGTAGGCTAAGCACTTCAGGTTTTGCATCAGCATTGCGTCCGGCCATCCGCGCCATGTGAAGCGGGCATGGCATTGCTGCAGGCTGTGGGACCGTGCCCTCAGGGACCCTTCCGACATGAATAACTAGGCATAAATATGAATATATATATATATATATCTGTAGAAAGGTACAGGGGTATGTTAGCATAACGTAATATATACGCATTAAGACAGATGAACATTATGTATATGGATGTATTCGTGATTCGTGATTCTTGTTGTGGCTGGGGAATCGTGTATGGAGGGAGAATACGTTGAGGCAGGGGGAATGTCATTCAATCCAAAACTTACGTACTGGCTGGCGGACGGTCAGCTACTGGCCCTGAGTCTCCCCAAACGGGGCCAGAGCTTCCTAGTTGCCGGCCTGGTGACGGTGAGAGCGCATGAGAGGAAGCGTGGGGGTCGAACATCCTGCCATCAGACCAAGTCTTAAGGGCTTACGCGAACATGCCAACTTGCCCAGGTTCAGTTTCTCTCAACCAAAGGGGATTAACATTTTGTTTCGTTTTCGTGCCCCCGCGTTTCTTGGGGGGGGGTTCCTTGATAATCAACTACCACAAAAACGAGTGGTGGGGGGGATGCTGATGCTGGAGGTGGCCTTGCTGGCTGCGTTTGCCTGTGGCCCCTGGGGCAGGCGGGGGCTGAGGAAAGCGGAAGGGCAACTTGGGCATGGGGTGGGTGGTGTGATGGGCATTTGGTTTTTGACTCAGGATCAGGTAAGCTCTCTAGTTGTTGGGTTGGGTGGGCTAGGGTTTGGATGGCCAAAAAGCAGCGAAAGCTGGCCCGCAACGCCTTCTTTGCAGGCCTTGGCGCTTCTCCGTGCAGCGCCAGGCGCGGAAAACAATTGGGACGCAAAGAAGTTGCTTCACCTCCCTGACCTTGAGCGCGTGATTTGCAGATGCTTGTTTGGTCTGCCCTTTTCTCTCTCAGCGCGTGATTCGCCTTTGAGGGAAGGCACGTTCGGCTCCGCCTGTCGAGGCGGGCGGCTTTGGCTCCAGCGAGGCCCCGGAGATGGGGTTCCCGGGTGGGCGGTTCCTGGGTAAAGGATTTGAAGGCCCAAACGAGCTCAATGGCTGCCTTGGGCGAGCGCACTTGCCGCGAGCCAAAGTTTCTACAGGCTTTGTGCTTCCGCCGCTTTCGCCGCACTTGTGCGGCGGCCAGCCGGAACATCAGCGCCTTTTTCTCTCTGGGCCTGGCATTTTGATGGAGGCCGAAGGTAGCATGGGGTGGGTGCAGGCGCCGAAGCCGCCGTGGCCTGAGAAGTGGGTTTGGAGGGAAGGGAAGCCACATGTCTTGGGGTCCCCCACATGGACCCGGAATATTCTTTGGGTTCCAAAAGCTTTAGGGGGCCATGGCCAGAGGCAGAGGTTTTCTTTTAGTCTCTGCTCAAGCGCCTTCCAGCAGGCGAGACGGAGCAGGCCGAGGCTTGAGGTGTAGTTTCCCACTTTGCGCGCCATGCACCTTGAGCCGGACCTTCGCGCCGCACACGGCGCGTTGGTCAATGCAGTTGTGCTCGTCGCCGGACGAGGCACACATGTGTTGGGCATTTTGCCCCTGAGCCGCCAGGCCTGCCGCATTTGCACTGAGGACCCTTGCCCGGATGGGGTTGTTGCCCTCTTGCAGTTTGAGGTGCAGTGCGTAGATGACCAGGTTTACCTCTGCCAGCACAGCCTTGGAGTGATTCACCCGCATAAGCCTGCCCAGCTCCCTTTCTTGACCCAGGTCATTGAACTGTGTGCTGGCATTGCTGCCACGTCCCAAGGTGCCAAGCAAGCTGGATTTGTGCCCACGGTTGCTGTGGAATGGAGGCCACCAATCCATAAGTTGCTACGAGCCAACTTTGAAGGTGAGGCCTTGCTGGCGGACATCACATGTCCGAGCACCGTTGCCAAAATCGCCACCGTTTGCCATGGTGCACAAAGCCTCACAGCAGGCGTGGCATGTCAGCCATACAGCCGCGGAGGAGATGGCTTCAAAGGTCAGGACCAACGTGCAGGTACCCTCCCGTGGACCTTGCTCACATCGTACCTCCTAGGCTGCCACATAACCATCCTGGAATGCGTTGCTGAAGCCCATACCGACAGCTATGTTCAAGCCCACATCCGGCAATTTTGTGAGAGCACAGGCAGTGAGTGCTCGCAAACTGTCATGCAGCTGTCACAGGTATGGCCTTGCCGTAGGAGCCGATGGTGGTGTGTGATCACCTCCCCAGCACTAGGTAAGATCCCGCTTAAGCAATGGATCGAGGACAGCACAAAGCAATCCATCCGAACCGTGATGCCAACCACCCCTGAGTGGCCAGCAGCAGATGTGGCACAGCTTGAGCTCGATGCCTATGAGCTCAGGAACTTCCATGAAAACTCGCCAGGATTGCAACAGCTCGAGGTCGATCTTAGCCATGTGTTCCCAACCGCTCTCCACTCCTGGGGAAACCAGCTGCAGGGTTGCCGCTGTGGGTGCCGATCCGATGGCTTTCGCCATGAGAGAATTGAAGCCAGAGGCCTATGGACACCTCTCTTCCGGTTGGAAGGTGAATGCTGCATTGAGGGAGTCCAATGGCCCAGATACCGACATCCGCACCCCGCTGAAGTGGCCATCCTGTCTGGCATGATGCCACTGGAATGCGCAAGCGGCGATCAAAGACTCGACCTTTGTGCTGTGGGTCAATTAGCATCACCAATGCAAAGCCTGTGGATTTTCTCGCAAGTGCACAGCTGGGCCATCAATAGGTTTGGGTTGCCACCGATGCTTGCCTCGCCAACGCAATTGCTTGCTATGTTCAAGCAAAAGCTGGTAGCCACGTGCCAGGCCCTGCTGGCACCATGCATCCCAAGGCAGATCTCACATGCCTGTGAATCTCAGGAATTTGAGGACGCTATCATGGCAGACCTCAATGAGCCCATGCTGGAGCCCACGTGCTGGGTGGTTGGCCCAGGCACGCAAGCTGCCATACCCGTTAGATTCAGCATTGGAACCACTGTAGGTCAGCTTGAGCAAGCCGAATGTAAGCTCACTCACTGGACACCATCCCATGGGGAGGTCATCAGCACCACCTCGCAGATGCCAGTTGCAACGCATGAGCTCCTTCAGTCTGAGCAGTGTATTTGCATTTCCGTAGGCCCCCCAGCCATGCCTGAATCCCGCGGGATTTCCCCTCCAACCACACCAGTTGAAATGGGAACTTTGCCAGCCACCACCCAGCTTGTTGCCGAGGTATCCCCGATTATGAGCACCATGAACCAATACCTGTCCATCCGAGCTGACAATATCACGACCAAGCAGCGGGCACACCTGGCCGCCGCCAGAGGTCCCATTTGGGCCGATGATGAGATGCATTTCCATCTCCACGTCATTGCCCAACATGCATGTGAGCAGCATAGGATTGTAGTGCTTGACCCGTTAATCACCACAACTGCCCATGAGCATGACTCTGAGATACTCCGCCAATGGAGAAACAGCGTCAACCCGCAGGAAGACACCATTGCCATCACCGCGTTGCGACTAGAAGGACACTGGATCCCGATCCTGGTACGCTTCGGTCCTCGCATCACTCTTACCACATCAGCTTCCGATACGCAATCGGTTGAGGCAG